TCCAAACGACTTAATAATAAGTCTTCCAATATAACATTTTAAAGCGTACCTGATAATACGGAGAGAACGAGTATATTGATAGAGACAATGTTTTATGTTCATTCATTTCCTCAATCAATCACTTGACAGTAAGAGATATAACTTATCGGCGATGGGGTTTACAGAAAAACGGCGCTAGGACTTCCTCTCAGATCTGAAATAGAGGAAGCGGCGGTGAGAACGGTGGTGAGAACTGTGGTGACAACGGTGGTGAGAACGGTGAGAACGATGGTGGGATAGATAACCGGCGATGAGAATGATGGTTTGTTCATAAATCACCTTCGAAATCGCCTTGAGAGAAACGGCTTTCGGGTTTTCTGAATTTCGCGAAAAAAGTGAGTAAAAAAAAATCTTAAATATGTCCGGTAAAAAATCTGGCTAGGTTTAAAAGTAAATTGGTAAAATCAAAGGTTCGGTCCGGTTTGGACGACTTATTAGTAAGTCGTCTATTGAATACTATACATCAGACGACTTAATAGTAAGTCGTCCAGACCCTATACCCTAAACCCTAACTAAATTGACTAAATTAACTAACTAATCACGTTATAAAATCAAATTATACTTAAATAGTGTTTACTATACACAGAAATAAACACACTTAGGTAGATTTTAAATTTTTCAAAACCGTTTTTAATGCTTTCCAAAATCTAACCCTAAGAACACATACTATACTACAACATATGTTGGTGAAACCTAAACTAAAGAATATTATGATTCACTATTTTCACTCATCTATGTTTAAAAAAATTGATTTTTGTTATATCATAATTTATATCTCTTAAAACATATGTTAATTACATAATTTCAATTTTCACTAATTAAAATATTTTTTACAAAAATTTTAAATTATTTTTAAGATAAACTATCTTAGACGACTTTCAGTTAAATCATCTGGACGACTTACTTTAAAGTCGTCTGGACAGACGACTTGCGCGTGCTAGAAATATAAAAAAAAATTCGTTTTTTTTGTTTGTTCACAAGGGGATGATTCTAATTTCAATAATCTTTTAAGTTACCTTTGCATTTGAAAACAAGTTTTGAGTCATATTTGACCGTTTTCCCTATAAAGAATGTTTGAGTTTAACTTTCTTTATTATACACATCGAAAACTCCGTACAATATTAAGAAGATTAGAACAAGATGGTCTCAAGAACCATCAAACTTAAAATTTGAATGTCTACTAAGAAAAAAATAATCCTCAAACTTGAGTATCTTTCCCAAGTTTTACATAAAAATAGAGCAAAATTTTAAAAGACAGTGAATAGATATTTATTTTTTATTTAAAAGAGAGCGAATATGATAAAAAAATTTCTAGTTCAGCTATCATTCTTCTTCGTTGAAAAGGTTAACTAGTTGAAGGGAATCTGTTTTGAAAGACATCAATAGCTAGTTAAGAAGACCAGATGATTTCGTAGTCCACAATATAGTTTAAATTCTGTGTGGAAAAGGAATAAGACTCGGTTACTAGCAAATGAACTAAAAGTCTTCCTTACAGCCCCTGTTTCTATCACCAGTCCTACAAAGAACTCATCGTCTTAATGCCATGAGGCATCAAGTTGACATATGAATCTCTCGGACCTGCTTCGTGCTGCTGTGTCTATTTGATGGATGTTAACATCTTCCTTCAAGGGGTCAAAGAGTACGTTCACTAGCCTCCAGCTTTCTGTTAAAAAGTTTGTCATTACCAACTTTCCAACGGTACCATAAGACCCAAGGAATATAGGTCTATATCATATTTGGAACTCCATAGTCATGAAAGTGACATAGAAGATGGTCGAGGTTACTGGTAACCACCAAGCGCACGGATTTACTTCCTGAATAAAAGGACATTAAAAAAAGCTCAATCTTGCAAGGCGTGTGGCCATTCAATCAGTAGATGAGTGCATATCCGATTGGAGCTGAAATGCCGGTCCAACAGTTGATGGGATAGTTGATTAATGGGAAACAATCCAACTAGGTGTACAGCAATTTTTGGTGGGTGAAATGCATGGCCATCTCAAATTATATCAAGGCACTGTTCAAAAAAACAAATTAACTATATATGTAATGATGTAGTGAAATAATTTTAAAATAAATAACTTTATTATTTATATATATTTGAGGTTCTATTCAAATTATAAACTAAAGATTTAAGAGGGATTCCCTTGACCTTCCCGATTCTAGAAAGCTTAGCCAAGGAATGATAAAGCCTTGGAACGTCTGGGGGGGGGGGGGTTGATTAGGAGAACAAATATTATGCAAATTTTCATTGATAGTTATTGATTTTTATGAATTGTCATATATGTTTTTCAGAAGGAATTTCCTTCTAAAGTAATAAACAAGTTCTCCAAGAAATATCCAAACTCTTATTTAACGTAATTTGTAAAGTATATATACATATATCAAGTAACTGATGTATTTCTTGCTTTTTAAGTATGCTTATTAAGCGACTATAATACTTCTTCATGAAAGTATAATAATTTTTTGAACATACTTATGCTTGTACAGGGTGCGGGCCGGTCACATGATTGTTTTATTATACTTTCATGCCTATGCCGATATCGGAATATTGAATAGATTACTTGACCACAACTCATTTTCCTTAATCTTATGCATTTGAAAATATTGTAGACTAAACTATTAAAAATGGAAATAATACTAATGGATTATCTTAAGTTTTTTTAGAAATTTTCCGGTTGGTCTTTTTTCTCACGGTTCTTTTCATTCAAGTTAATGATGACATTCCTTTTTGCTTTCTTAATAAAAGATTATAGAATTAAAAGATTACTTGAGACATACTCATGACCTTATTCTTACCAAATATAATTTTTGCGTATATTTTATAGCACCTAGGTTTCTCAGCTTGCTCTTAGAAATACACTTTTATATGCAATCAAACTTTATTCGTTTGAGAGAGGTTACAATCAAGCAAGAACCACTTATTTGATTTGCTGATCTTCTTAGGGTTTTTTTCATGTTGTCGTCATTCTATATCAATTAAGTTGCCAAAGAGGTTACAGTCTCCACTCTATATGTTCTATATTACGACTATTGCCGTTAGGTTATAAAAAACGATTAAATTCTAGTTTTTTTTTCTTTGTCAATACACAGAATTTTGCAAGCAATGGAAAGCATGAAGAAGAAAATTTCTGAAATTATTGACTCAAGAACGGTGAATATGTTATTGTCTTAGGACGGCCAACCATTTATAATTTTGGTTTTAACTAATTCGAATATGATATCACTACATATTTATTGTTATCATTGAAATAAATCAAAATAGGCTGGACAGTACGTCGTTGTTTCCACAATTAAGGCTGTTGATTTGGAAAAATCATGGTACTATAGTGCCCGCAATTTTTGCAATAGAAAAGTGGTAAGAAAAGGAGATGGTTTTGATGCTATTGACAACCATCTTGAGTTGAATCGTCAGTACGATTGCATTACATGCAACAAGGATGTTGAACATGTTATTCACTGGTATGACCATATTATATTCATCTATCTTGCTATCTTTAGAATCACATATTATTACATGTTCTGAAACTAATTTCAATTTTGTATTTTTTAGTTACTACTTGGTTTTACTTGTATCTGATGAATCAAAAGCAAAAGCCAAGTTTTTGCTTTTCAACAATGCTGCTCAGCAACTCATTAAGAGACCTGCTTTTCAGTTAGTCCAAGAGGCTGTTGAGGTATTTCCATGGCTTTTCTAATAAAGGGGGAGTAAGGAATATTACATTATAGAGATTGATTGTGAACCGTAATTTTAATTTTTTTTACAGGAAAATCCACATATTTTACCTCAATTTCTAACAGATTTAATTGGGAGGAAAGTTTTATTTTGGATCACTATCAGTTCTTATGGTCTGGAAGATCAAAATTCAACATATGTTGTTGATTTAGTGGTTGACGATGCAGAAATAGTTCAACACTTTCATCCACATGTAAGATTTAACTTATATGTGAACTCATATTACGCAATATATATTCTAACCAACTGCAATATTTTGTGCAGCCACATGTTGTGATTTTTAATGATTATGACTCGGATGAGGAATTTATATGAGCTGCTTAATACTCCAAAACAAATGGAGAAAGTTGAAGTCCATGCTGCATGTCAAAGTGGATGAATCTCAATATTTGATTTGTGCATGTTTTCTTTAATTTTTATATATTTTCTCAGTGTCCCTGTTTTTAGTTTTATACTTATTAGCATCAAATAATTCCCTCATTTGTTCCGTTTATGCTTTCAGCTCCTTTGATCGATTATTGTTTACCCATTATATAAACCATTTATTATGTAACAACTTATTAAATTTCCAAGAAAACTGATACAATTGGAATTTTACACATTTTTAAGTATTTGGCTTATCATAAAGCTTTTTCCAATATAGTACATGTTAAACACTTGCGCAAGTAATAAACTGTAGAATAAGTCAACAGTTTGATAAGGAAATATTATAAATCTTTAAAAGATTTATACATATATTTTAAGTGGCTATCACGTAATGAAGTAAAAAGGTTATTTTTCTCTATTATTAATTTTCAAAACAGAATCCATCCAGAGTAAAAAAAACGAGATTGTAAGAAAATCATAATTGCAAGTGCAAACAATGTAAAAGAAGATACTAAGGATTATATTGTCATAAAGTGTTTTCCAAAAAAATTAATTATTATTTTCTTGGCAACATTATAATAAGGAAATATTATCAATCTTTAAGGATTGTACATATTTGTAAACTGGCTATCACGTAATGAATTAGGTTAGTTCTCTATTATTAATTTTCGATACAAAATCATTCCGTAATCACTATATTATATTTTGAAAATAGACGTCGGCTTCTGCACTCGATTTCTTCGATTTACTATAACACATAGTTAGTTTATTCAATCCTTATTCTCTCAAGTACATAAGATTCAATATACAGAAAGTGTTTTGTTCTTACTAAAAACACAAGCTTTCAGGTGGATTTGGAAGCATGAAGAGATGCAATGCATTGTCGACAGACACTGGGAATAAATCACATAAGAAAGCCAAAGAGGGTATGTTGTACTGAAAATAAACAAAATATCTAATAGTGTTCTAAGGGTTCGTTCAACTGAAAAAAAAAATAATGATCATATTACGTTCTAATGATATGGGTTAATGTGTTCGAGTTGTGAAACGCAGGTACCAATGACAAAGAGAATACAGTTGTGGGGAACAAAACACAAACCTCATCTATCACAGATGTTTCACCTTCACCAAGTATCCAAAATCATTTTAGGGTGCCCTTCCAGAATGTTACGAATCAAGTATTTCGACCCATTATTCAACGCCCATCACAGTCTAATCCTTCAAACTTCGTTGAAAATTCATCGACACATACTATCCCATTAAGTTGTGTTTTTCAAAGTTTTAAACATGCGACACAGAGAGCAAGAGTTGCAAGAAAGGAAATCTTGGATAACAGAAGAACAATAGGCATTACTACCTCAAATAGAGGTAAGTCTCCTTAGAGCTTTCATTTTCCCCATGTTTATTTTTATTAATCTCAATAAGAACTTAACTGACCAATTTATTTTCATTACATTGAAGGAGTTACAAGGATTTTCAAGCCAACAAAGCCATCACTTGTACCAAATTCGAGTATAATTTCATTACAATCAACAGAAATCACAAATTTAGGAGGAATTACTGGAAAAAAACCCTTTTCACAATTAGCATCCTTATTTATCTGTTCATTTTACTTATGTCTGCAGGCCCCCATTCTCAAACGCAAAGTTCACCTACCACTGTAATTTTGACTGGTTCTAGAAACGGCCCGCACCCTGCGAGTAATAGTATAGGTAAGTCATAACAGGAGTGTATTTTTTTGGTATCGCTTTGTATTAGGGATCATAAAGGAGTAGTTAAGACTAATCATTAGGGAGACCGCGCAATTACAAGTTACGTATAAAACATAATGTCATCTTTTTAGGTAGAATTGGTAACCAAGAAGGATCTCAACGGAGTACCAACATTTCAGCCAAGAAACGAAAGACTCTTGGATCACCTCCATCGTGAATTCAAAGAGAAGACAAACGAAAGGTAACAACGGTTCTTACTAATTTAGCGTATAGTTATCTTATTCTGTTATTCAGTAAAGTGAGACTAATTTTCCTCTGGCAAATATTAACAGCAAGGCAAGGTCACAACATGACAGGACAATCAAATCCGACTCTTCCAAGACTGTTTCTAACAGATGAAAATCCTGAAAGTATTTTTATCCTCTGTTATAATTGTAGTAATATTATGACTTAGTAAAGGTAAATAGTAATATATAATCATAGTTATTATTCTGCTCGTCTGCTCCAGACTTCTGTTTATATGTTTATCATTTTATTTTTCAGCTATGCAAATTCCATTACAGCAAGCCAAAACAAATGTATTCGTTCCTCCACCAAGGTTCATCGTGGAGGACCATCCTGAAGGTAAAATGTTTTTTCCATTTATATACATGAGACAGAAAATTATATTCATTGATCATATGTTTTGACTATGTCATGCAAATTTTCACGCAGCTTACAATAATCGATATGAAATGGACAGTGAGTCTGAAAGTGAAAATGAAGATGACGAGAATCAAACTTACACTAACTATCCAGCTGGAGAGTCTTTGATAAACCCATCACCACAACATATCGCAGAACAAACGAATCATACAGTTACATCGCCTATTATCAGCGGGATACAGAAAAACGGTAATCACGTTGTTCTCAAATTTAAATATTTATTCTTATTGTAACAATATATTTATTTTAAATAAATGAGTTCTCATTTAATATAAAATAAATAGTTCAATACATTTTATAAATTAATATTCAAGCTTATTTAAATATACCATAATCTCTTATAATAGTTTAAAAATCTGCTAAGCCAATATAAATAATTTTCCATTAACATATTGTGACCGTTAATGATGATATGTTCTTAAACGGGTTATTACGACGACGGAGATCCAGTTTGGAATTGTAAACATTGTAAAGCATATATGTGGTATGGTGAAAGAATTGGAAAACGCCGTCGTAGTAAAAATCTTGTCTTCACAATGTGCTGTAAAAGTGGTAAAGTTGTGCTTCCACGGCTCGCGAATCCTCCAATGGAGTTAATGACTTTGTTATGCAAGGGAGACGAGTTAAGCAAACATTTTCGAGAGTTCATACGAGCTTACAATATGATGTTCTCTTTCACATCTCTTGGGGGCAAGATTGATCATTCTATTAACAATGGTCGTGGANTTGTGCTTCCACGGCTCGCGAATCCTCCAATGGAGTTAATGACTTTGTTATGCAAGGGAGACGAGTTAAGCAAACATTTTCGAGAGTTCATACGAGCTTACAATATGATGTTCTCTTTCACATCTCTTGGGGGCAAGATTGATCATTCTATTAACAATGGTCGTGGACCATTTGTGTTCCGAATGTCCGGTGAGAACTAACATCGTATTGGTGATATAGTCCCCGAGCCTGGACAAGCTCCCAAATTTTCGCAGCTGTATATCATTGATACTTTGAATGAGATCAGAATAGACTTGAAGCTTATGTCGGGTATGTTTGAATAATTTCTATCAACTTAATATGTCGATATATATTGTTCAGACTGCAGTATGGTCTATGTTTTGTCAACTTATATTTAAAAAAAAAAAACCTTTTGTTGCAGGTCTGACAGAGCTTCTGCTAAGAAACTAAGAGAACCACTTGTTCTTCTTCTCAAGAATATGTTAGATCAGTGTAACCCTCATGTTAAGGCCTTTAGGTCTGCAAGAGACAGATTCGATGTGGAAGGAACTACAGGTTATAGGATGAGGTTGATTGAGAGTCGACAATCTGATGGACGAACCCATAATCTTCCGACTGCAAATGAAGTGTCTGCTTTGATACCTGGAGATTTCGTTTTTAATATGGAACCTCGAGATATTGTTCTAGAGAGTACAACTGGAAAGTTGCAAAGGATAAGTGAATTACATCCGGCTTATTTGCCCCTGCAATATCCACTGTTGTTTCCATATGGAGAGGATGGCTTTCGATTAAATATTCCTATTGGTTTTGATGACAGCACTGCGAGAAAACGCAAGAATGTAAGTATGCGTGAGTACTTTGCATTTCGGATTTTAGAGAGGAGGTGGGAAGCACCTACAATTACAAGATCAGGCAGATTGTTTCATCAGTTCCTTGTGGACGCCTACACAATGATAGAATCGAGTAGACTGCGTTACTTGTGGCTGAATCAGAAAAAGCTCCGGTTTAGCAGTTACGATGCAATCCAGAAAGCAGCTCAAAGAGGTGTAGCTAAGATGGCTGAGCAAGGGAGCGAATTTTCATTCCAGCAACTTTCACTGGAGGAAAAAGGTATATGAAGCAGCACTACTATGATGCCATGGCTATGTGCAAGTATCATGGATTTCCAGATCTTTTCATCACTGATCTTTTCATCACTTTTACGTGCAATCCAAAATGGCCTGAAGTTACAAGGTATCTGAAAAAATATAACCTGACCACCGAAGACAGGCCTGAAATATTGTGTAGAGTTTTTAAGATGAAACTCGATAATCTTGTCGGCGAGTTGACAAAAAAAAATGGCTCCTTATTTGGCCCTACTGCTGCAGGTAAATCTCCTTACATATGTTATCCGTATAAATATATTAATTATTTTTTTCAAACAGATACTTTATATAGTATATTTTTTGATTAAAAATTGTCTGAAACTTTTTTTTTTTTAGTAATGTACACGATTGAGTTTCAGAAAAGAGGAATGCCACACGCTCATATTCTTGTTTTCATGAAAAAGGATCTAAATTTCCAACAGCCGATGATGTAGATAAGATTATTTCTCCTGAAATACCAGACAAGACAGTAGATCCAGACCTGTATGAAATCGTTGGGGATTGTATGATGCATGGTCCTTGCGGAGCAGCAAAGTAGGATTATGTATGTATGGTTAACGGTAAATGTTCTAAGATGTTTCCAAAACCTCCCAACATGAGGACGTCGATTGACGCAAATGGATTTCCAGCTTACATGCGTCGCATTGATGGTCGGTTCATTGAGAAAAATGGAATCAGACTAGACAATGGATATGTTGTACCATACAACAGAGACCTCATGCTCCGATATCGTGCGCATATGAATGTCGAGTGGTGCGTCCAAACACGAGCTGTTAAGTATCTTTTCAAATATATTCATAAGGGGCCTGATTATGCTTCAGCTGCAATGGATATGGAAGATGAGGATGGCGTCATTGACGAAATTAAAACATATTACGACTGCAGGTATTTTTAGTGCTAAAAATCGTTTTAGTTTTTTTCGCCATTTTTATAATATATAAATTTCACTATTTTTTTAAAGTTAATATCTTCATAAATGAATATATAACATAATTAATAAACAGATATTTAAATACCGATTTAGGCTTGAAAATAAATTTATTAAAATGGCTTACGTGATAGTAATATGGCTTATGTATACCTTAATATATAGTAAAATTGCTTATAATATTGACCATTGAATAATCCGGAAACTAAATGTTTTACGCCATTATTATCTATTATATATTTTACTATATTTTTAATTTAATTGAAGAGTTCATGAATGAATAAATACATTATTAATACACAGAGTTTATTGTGTTTTGCATTTTAAGGTATACGTTCATCTTTACTAATTTTTGTTTCCGTATTTCTTAATTAGATATATTACGGCATGCGAGTCGTCTTGGAGGATTCTTGCTTTTCCTACACATTTCCGCACTACTTCAGTTGAGAAACTTGGATTTCATCTTCCGGATCAGGAGCTGGTGTTTTTTGATGAAGATGAACCTATTGAGAGTATTCTCAACAAAAAGACTGTCAACCAATCCATGTNAACTTGGATTTCATCTTCCGGATCAGGAGCTGGTGTTTTTTGATGAAGATGAACCTATTGAGAGTATTCTCAACAAAAAGACTGTCAACCAATCCATGTTTTTGGCCTGGTTCATAGCAAACAAAAAATATCCAGAGGCAAGAGAGTTGACATATGCTGAATTCCCGACTAAATTTGTCTGGAAATCAGCTACGAGAGATGGGTACCACGGAAACGAGGCTTTGCGATAGGGAGGATTGCGCATATACATCCATCAGGTGATGAGCTATATTTTTTAAGAGTATTGCTAAATTGGGTAAGAGGTCCGACATCATACGAGGATATAAAAAAAGTTGATGGTATTTTATATTCTACATACGAAGATGCTTGCTATGCGTTGGGATTGATGGATGATGACAAGGAATTCATTGAAGCTATCAAAGAGGCCACTGACAATAGTTCTGCCACGTATGCCAGAAAGCTTTTTGCGAGAATGTTGGTATCCAAAACGTTATCTCAGCCTCATGTTGTGTGGGAAGCTACTTGGGAGTATCTCACCGAAGATATCCTTTACAAGAAGCGCCGAGAAACTGGACGACCTGATCAGTTTTGTCTTACTAAATTTACTTATTTGAAACTCTCTATGTGATCTAATAAAATTATAAAACTTGCAGATATGATTTACGACCCTTACTGAGATCGAAAATCATTTGCTCAGCAATGGTCGTAGCCTAAAAAAATGGCCCCATATGCCAAAGCCAGAAGATTTTGCCTGTTACAACGGCAATCGCCTTATAGATGATGAGCTTAAATATGTTGTGGAAGATCCGCTAAAGGAAAATGAAAGACTTATGGCGATGATAACAGATGAGCAAAGAGTCGTATATAACCAGATTCTGGATGCAGTTTTAAATGATAGCGGTGGAGTGTTCTTTATTTATGGTTATGGAGGCACAGGAAAAACCTTCGTATACAGAGCACTCTCATCAGCGATCCGATCTAGAGGTATGATTGTTTTAAATACCGCATCCAGTGGAATTGCTGCACTGTTGTTGGAAGGAGGTAGAACCGCACATTCCAGATTTGGTATTCCGATAGATGCTGACGAATTCAGTACCTGCAAAAAAATGGAACCAGGATCAGATCGTGCAGAATTAGTTAAAGCGGCAAAGTTAATTGTATGGG